AGCCCCGACTGAAGCTGGAGTAGTCTTTTTATAGGGGGTCAGTTACCAGGGGTTTCTATGCAAGCAGTTATAGAAGCTTAATCAAGCAGGTTACTTATTTCTGAGGGGATTGGGGTTTCCATGCAAGCAGTTACATTGCTAAACAAAAGGGTTTTAGGCTAGTTAGCAAAGACAGTAGCAGGTACAGGATGTTGTCCTGGATACGGTTTTCTATATGTCTAGCACAAGCTATTTTCTCATGGGAAGAGCAAGCAGGCTTACAGAAGCAGACAGCCATGTTCGGGTAAGGGAACAAAATGGACAAACAGTTGTTCATGTGCAAGATCTAATATGCAGCCTTCCATGGTGGCTTGCTTTCTCACTTTCTCATTCTCTGGTCAAATGAAAGAATAATAATACATAAAATTAAATATAATAATTTTTAAAAGTTAAAAAGAAAACAACCAACTGCTGGACCATAAAACAGAGGTTTTTTTTGTTTGTTTGTTTTGTTTGTTTTGTTAATTTGCTAGAGGGTATGTGCAGTTGCTGGAGAAAGACAGAAAGAGAGAAAGAAAATGAGAAAGTACTCCCTATGGGGGATGGTCACACTACAATTCCATTTCCATTTCTCCTTTCCAGATTTTGGACATGCATGAACACATGTCTGGAGTTTCAAGCTGCTGGGTCTGGGACACGAATCTTGCAGTAGGCCATGTGGGGTCCAGTCACCCAGTCTACTCAACTACTATGACACTGGTGACTAAAAACAAGTTTTGTCTTCTTTTTAAAGAATTATTTATTTAACTGTATTTATTTATTTATTTAAATTTGACCAGAGGGACTGGCAAATGGCGTGGTGGTTAAATTTGACCAGAGAGGGAGAGAGAGAGAGGGAGAAAAGGAAGGGAGTGAGAAAGCAAGCCTCCAAGTCTGGGACTCAAACCACATTTGGCCATGTGGGAGTCCAGTGGTTTTAACTACTACGCCACCTGCCAGCCCCAAAGACAAGATTTTTTTTTTTTTTTTTGCTATAGGGAATTTGCACTTGTCAGAGAGAGAGAAAGTAAGAAATCACCCCATGGGGGCGGGGGGGGTTGGCCACACCACAATCTTTTGTCCTTCAGTCTCCTCTCAGGATTTTGGACATGCATGCACATGCACCTAGTCTGATTTTCTTCTTTTTTCTTTTTGAGAGGTTTTGCTATAGGGCATGTGCACTCACCAGAAAGACAGAGAGACAGAGAAACAGAAAGTGAGAAATCACCCCCCAGGGAGGATGGCCATACCACAATCCCTTCTTCACAATTCTCCTTTCAGGATCTTGTGCACACAGGCACATGCACCCGGCGTGAGTTTAAGCCACTGGGTCCGGGACTCAAACTGTGGTCAACTACATTGGAGTCCAGCGACATAGCCATTATGCCAACTGCTGGTCCCGCCTAGTTTGATTTTCGAGACACTGAGTCCAAGATTCGAACAGCATAGCTGACCATGTGTGAGCCAGTTCCTTAACCTTTGTGCTACCACCTAGCCCTAAAAATAGTTTTTTAAAGCTATTGCCATAGGGTCCAGTAGATGGCATAATGGTTACATCACTGGGCTCCCATGTATTAGACTGAGTCTTATTAGAGTCCTGGACCTGGTGGCTTAAAACTCACGCCGGGCATGTATGCATGTGTGCCCAAGATCATGAGAAGAGAATGGAAGAGAAGGTCCTCTGGGGGGTGAGTTCTCGCTTTCTGTCTCTGTCTCTGTCTTTCTGGTGAGCGCATGCACCCTTTATCTCTCTTTAAAAAAAAATAGCTATCCCTGTAGTCCAGTGGCTAAGAGAGCCACATCCCACTGGTTGACGGTAGTTTGAATCCCTGCCCCTACATCTTCAAAAACACTCCGGACAGGGAACCAGCAGTTAGCATAATGGCTATGTCACTGGACTCTCACGTAGTCGACCGCGGTTCGCGTCCCAGACCCGGTGGCTTAAAACTCACGCCGGGCGCATGTGCGTGTGTGCCCAAAATCCCGAGAGGAGAATGGAGGAGAAGGGATTGTGGCGTGACCATCCCCCCTGGGGGGTGATTTCTGTCTCTATGTCTCTCTCTTGTCTGTCTGGCGAGCGCACGCACTCTATAGCGAAAATCTAAAAAAAAAAAAAAACACTCCGGACATGTATGCGTGTGTGTTCAAAATCCCAACCAGATGGAGAAATGGAGGAGAAGGGATTGAAGCATGCCACATTCTGGGGGAGGTGGCATTTTATTTCTTCCTACTCTGGGGAGTACAAATGCCCTCTGACAAAGAAAAATATAGATTATTGGGCCAGCTAGTGGAATGGTGGTTAAGGTGGCTGGATCTCACATGGTTGGCTGTATTGTTTGAATCTGGGACCCAGCAGCTTGAATGACACACCAGGTGTGAGTGCATGCTCAAAATCCCAAGAGAAGAATGGAGAAGAGATTGTGGTGTGGCCATCCCTTCTGGAGAGTTCTTTCTCATTTTCTCTCTGTCTCTGTCTCTTTCTGGTGAGCACATGTACCCTATAGCAAATTAAGAAAAAAAATAGTTTATTTATCCTATGACCAAGAGAGACAGGCAAAGAGAGAGACAGCATCCCCCACCATCTGGATGCCCTGATCTATTCCCTACTTCGGCTAGTCACAATTGATAGGTACAAACATGCCAAGCATTTTGGCAGGGATGTCTCTTGATAAGAACCTGGAAACTTACTATGTGGGTCAGCCTTAAAGAGTGTTGCCTTCTATTGCTGCACCATAGTAGTCTTTATGTCTGATTTTATTTTGTTAAACAAACTTAAAATTTTGTTTGGTCAGATTTTTTTTTTTGACAGTTTTTGCTATAGGGCACACTTGATTACCTCAGAGAAACAGGGAAAGTTTCAGCCTCCAAGGATATGGCTACACCACAATCCTTTTTTATCCATTCTCCTCTTGAGATTTTGCACACACATGCACATGTGCCTGGTGTGTTTTTCAAGCTACTGGGACCAGGACTTGAAAAGTGGAGTCAGTCATGTGGGATCCAGCACCTTAACCACTGCTCCACCTGACTGACCTGACTTTGTAGGTTTAAAAAATATATATCATTTTGAAGAATTATTCATTTAATTTTACTTATTATTCTTTTTCTTCAATTTGTCCAGGGAGAGACAGAGTGAGAGAAAGCAAACTGCCAGGTCTGAGACTTGAACCACAGTCAGCCAAGCAGCCTTGTGGGAATCCAGCACCTTAACCACCACGCCACTTGCCAGCCTGATGGAAAAAAAAAAAAAGAAAGATTTATTTAAGTGTATTCATCACTAAACAGGGAAAGTTTCAGACTCCAATTTCTGATCCACATTTGTGAGGCCTCCTTATCCTTTTTGGGAACTGGGACAGGGTATAAGAAACGTCCTCGTTAGGGTGTTATTCAGCCACTCTAAGGTTCCCAGATCTCGCTGGAGCCTCCAAATGTTGCAGAGTGCCACCAAATGAATGACCACCAAAGCCAGATTAAGTTTAAAGGGAGTCTTTATTAGCTGGCCAGCGACTACAGTCTGAAGCTGGGGTGGGGGGTAGGGGAGCGGCGAGAGTCAGAACTGTAGCCCCGACTGAAGCTGGAGTAGTCTTTTTATAGGGGGTCAGTTACCAGGGGTTTCTATGCAAGCAGTTATAGAAGCTTAATCAAGCAGGTTACTTATTTCTGAGGGGATTGGGGTTTCCATGCAAGCAGTTACATTGCTAAACAAAAGGGTTTTAGGCTAGTTAGCAAAGACAGTTCTCTCTCTCAGTCTATCCCTCTCTGGTCAAATATAAATAAATAAATAAATAAATAAATAAAGTTAAATAAAATAATTCTTAAATGAATGAATGAATAAAATGGTGTTTTTTTGGAGAGGTTTTTGCTATATGGCGCGTGTGCTCTCCAGAAAGACAGAGAGACACAGAGATACAGAAAGTGAGAAATCACCACCTGAGGGTGATAGCTACGCCTCAATCCCCCCTCTTCCGTTCTCCTCTCGGGATCTTGTGCACTCATGTACACATGCCTGATGTGAGTTTAAGCCATTGGGTCCAGGACTTGAACGTCGGTCTACTACTTGAGAGTTCAGCAACATAGCCATTATGCCAACTGCTGGTCCCAATTAAATAATAATAATTATTTGATTGTATCCGTTCATTGTATTATTTTAAAAAATAATTATTTAATTTTATTCATTATTATTTTTAAATTTTACGGGAAAGAGACAGAACGAGAGAAGCAAATTGAAAAAGCAAGCCAATGGGTCCAGCACTTGAACCACTGTCGGCCAACCACCATGCCACCTGTTGGCCCTGACTTTGTAATTTTTATTGCTTTCGTGAATGTGATTTTGTTCTCTCTGTGGCTATTATTTTCTAGTTGATTATTGGTATGTTTTTAAAAAGATAGTCTCCTTTCATATCCCTTCTTCTCCACTTATTTTTTAGACTTTAAAACTTTGTTTTCTTTTTTAAAACATGAGGAATAATAAACCCATGGATAAGTCGGGATTAAAACAGAAGGACGAAGCATCTAATAAACCGCGGTTTTCAGTCAGTAAAATCAGGGCGGGGAGTGGATAGTTTGACGCCAGGCGTGGCAGGAACGCTGGCAGTTGAGTCCTGTGGCATGCAGGAAACTCTGTGTTAAAAGGACGTGAATTCCCGTGACCATTCAAGGCATAATATACAACCACAGCCAAAACTGAAAAATGAAAGACCTTTTTTTCAATGAAAACTTTCGGGAGGTACAGGATGGGCCTTTCTGTGATCTAAACCGATCTCCCACCTCTTCAGTTGGTGACATCTTTCCAAAAAATCTATAGTTTGGAGCGGAGGATTCTGGGCTTTGTAGTAATGTTTCTTCCAGAGTCGCTGGTGGATGTGGACGAAGAAAACTACATTTCCCAGGAGCCTTCAGGGCCGGTTGTTGGCCTGGTCTTCCTCTTGATTGACTTCCGGCGTCGCTACGCTCTCTAGGGCCAATCGAGAAGCTGGTAGTGCTCCTTCCCGGCGCTCTGATTGGTGCATTCGACTACGGTGCCTGGGTTCAAATTTTCAACGGTACTAAGTGAGTCCCGCGGCTGGCTTGCCGGCGCTTCGTTGTCAGAACCGAGGCTAACGAGGAGAGGTGAGTGGTGCGAGGGAAAGGGACAGTGGCTGGGGTGCGAGCTCCCTTCTCCCTGATTTTCAAACGGCAGGACGTCGCCTCCCTTCTGCTAGCAGTGTCCGCGCCTCTAGGCCGGGTCTCTGGTGTTCGCGGTCCTGGGGCGCCGCCCTGGCCGGCTGGGTGGTAGCTGGGAGTTTGGGCCGCTCTTTTGTGACAAAGTTTGCCCTAAAGCCTTTCCAGATAATAGGAGGAAGGAATTTTAGGAGGCTGTCCGCTAACAGGACTGGAACGACAGTTGTTATTGCTAAACTAACATTTACTAAACCCTCTGCATGCGCTTTCTGATTTATTTTTCGTACGAAGTCAGTGAATAAGGTATTGTTTCTAGTCCCATTTTACAGAGGAGGAGGCTGTGACCCAGTATCTAGATGAATTTCAAAAAATGGATGAAATAGTAGCCCCGCCCTCAAGTGTTATATTTGGCAGAGGAAAACAGATCGGGTCACACACAACTACGTTTCCTAACTTGTGTAAAATAGAAGAGTAAATTGCATAGTGTGAAACCTTGATTGTGCAAGAGTTGATTCTACTTCGAGCTCTTTTCTATTTGGGATTTAAAATTTATTTTATGTTATCCTTAATTTGCTCATCCTTCCCTCTTTGTATCCAGTCATTGGATATTATCGGCTGGTTTATTTCCTTCCTTAGGACATTTACAAATCCGAGGACTGTGAGACAGATTATAATATTGTAGGATTGGTTTACTCCTTATTTTCTTGATATCTGGCTTTTTTTTTTTTGCATGGAATTTTCTTTTTTTAAGAATTATTCTATTTGACTTTATTTTATTCATTTATTTTAATTTGACCAGAGAGGTACAGAGTGAGAAGACAGAGAGAGAGAGAGAGAGAGAGAGAGAGAGCGAGAGAAAGGGAAAGGGAGAAAGCAAGCTGCTGGTAACGGGACTCGAACCACATTTGACCATGTGGGAGCCCAGCACTCTTAACTACCATGACACCTGCCGGTCCCTTTACATGGATTTTTCTATAGTTCAGTAGCAAGGCTTCCGTTTGATCGGTCCTGCTTAGGATAAGAAAGGGATTTCTTTAACTGCTTGATTTTGCTTTAATGTCATCCCTTGGTGTGCTCCTGTTCATCTTTACCATTTCCTGACATCCTCTGGTCTTTTTTTTTTTTTACATTTCTCCTGCTCATCAAATAGTGTCAAAAATAGGACTGTAATAAGAGTATTCTTGTGTTGTGGCTTCAGTGTATCACACCACTGTCAAGCCACCCCCAAATCATACTTGAGTAACTGGTTGGTTTGAGTGTGTCAGTTCCTTATTAGTTTGCATTCTTGAAACAAAGTCGTTCCAAATAATTTACCCATTTAATTGAACTTTGAGAGTGTACTGTGTGTTTAGGTTGGTGTTACTGTGTTAGGTGTCCTGTGTGGTTAGGTTGTTGATACTGTGTTAGAGATATGTGATGTGTTCAAGGGTTCTCCGGTATGATTGGGGACAAAAAAGATTGATTGGAATTGTCAAGCAGCAATAGGGACAAGACAATTTAGGATCTGGATGTGCTATCCTTTTGTAAGTTTCTAGCAATTTAGAGGAGAGGGAGATCAATGAGACTTAAAACAGGTGAAGGTGGCTGGCTGTGTGAAGCAAGTGGGACAGAGACTGGCTCTTAAAGTGAGAGTTTGGTTTTAGGGGCTAGAACAGTCCTGGAGCATAGGAATCATCCATTGAGTATTCTTGAATTGGATAGGCAGGAGGACACCATATAAAGTGGTTACAAAACTGTGAGTATGGCTTCTTCTCCGAGAGAACACCAAATGGCGGATTGCGCCGGTGCAGCTGCAGGGTCCGGAGGCCCCTGGGGGTCCTGGGATAGGAGGCCGCGTTGGCTTCCGTGGAGGCTTCGGTAGCGTTCCCGTGGTCGGGGCTGAGGCCGGGGCCGGGGCCGGGCAGTCCACGGCTGCTGAGCTCGGCAGAGGCAAGGCCGAGGACAAGGAGTGGATCCCGGTCACCAAGCTGGGCCGTCTGGTCAAAGAAATGAAGATCAAGTCCCTGGAGGAGATCTGTCTTTCCTCCCTGCCCATCAAGGTAGCCGTTTAGTGGGGGCCAGCAGGTGGCGAGGTGATTAAGGCGGCTGGACTCCCGCAAGGTTGACCACGGTTCGCGTCCCGGACCTGGCAGCTTGCTTTCTCGTTTTCTCTCTCGCTGTCTTTCTCTGATAAACTTCAAAAAAATAAATTCTAATATAACAAACAAACACCAAAAAGCAAAAACAAAACTATGAGTATGTAAAAGTGGATCATACTCAGCTAGGTTGGTAAATTTAAGATTTCAAATTATGGGACCAGCAGGTGGCATGGTGGTTAAGGCATTGGACACTCCCACATGACTGACAGCGGTTTGAGTCCCAGCTTGCTTTCTAACTTTCTCTCTGACTCTCTCTGATCAAATTAAAATAAATTAATGAATAAACAAAAATTTAAAATAAATAATTCTTTTTAAGGAAAGATTTCAAATTATTGGAATCAACAGCTTAATGGTTACGCTGCTGGAATCCTACGTAGTAGAGTGCAGTTCAAGTCCCGGACCTGGTGGCTTAAAATTTATGCCGGGCACATGTGCATGCATGCCCAAAAAAATCCCAAGAGGAGAATGGAGGAGAAGGGATTTCGTTGTGGCCATCCCCAACAGGGGTGATTTCTCACTTCTATCTTTCTGGCAAGTGCGTGCACCTTATAACAAAATTCTCTAAAACAAAATTCAAATTATTTAAATGAAATAGAGTTATTTTGGTCATCCTTATGATTAAATCTATGTATTCCATCCTTGATAAAATTAATTCATTCCTTCATGATAAGATTAACGTATCTTACAGAGGAGATTAAAGCTTGACCATGAAGGCGGAAGTCTTTCATTTCTCGCTTAGGTACCAGGAAGGGTTCCGTTTTCCACATTCCCTGTATATTTTTTCTTTCATTCTTTCCTGGATCTCTTCTCTAATTTTTTATTATTATTATTTTTAATACTGGGGAAGAAAAGAGGAGGGGAGATTTAAATACCCTTTGACAAGCTTTTCTTTGTCACGGGTAAAGTTAGGAAGCAAAATTGATTATAGGTAGGTTGAACAATCTGTAGGGGTCAGCAGGTGGCATGGTAGGTGAGGACATAGGACTCCCAAATGGCTGACTGTGGTTTGAGTCCTGGACCTGGTGGCCTGCTTTCTCACCCCTCCCCCCCCCCCATCCCTCTCTGGTCAAATTAAAAATAAATAAATAAATAAAGTTAATTAAAAAAAAATCTTTTAAAAAAAGAAAGAAAAATTGAACAATCCTATCTATTTTAGAAATAACTTTATTTATTTATTAATTTTAATTTGACCAGAGAGGGACAGAATGAGAGAGAGAAAAAAAGAGAGCTTTTTAAAGTGAGAAAGCAAGCTGCCAGGTTCAGAACTTGAACCACAGTTAATTATGTGGGAGTCCAGTGCCCTTAACCACCATGCCACCTGCTGGCTCCTATTTATTTATTTTTAAAATTTTATTTCTTTATTATTCTTCAGTTTGACCAGAGAAGGTGAGAAGGCAAGCCACCACGTCTGGGACTTGAACCACGGTCAGCCATGTGAGAGTCTAGCACCTTAACCACCACATCACCTGCCGGCCCCCCCATTATTATTTTATTTTTAATTTGACTAGAGAGGGAAAGTGAGAAAGCAAGTCACCAGGTCCGGAACTTAAACCACGGTCGGCCATGTGGAAGTCCAGTGTCCTCAATCACCACGCCACATGCCGGTCCCAATCCAAGCTATTCTGTGAGTAAATCTGTTTTTGAGGTAGAGATCAGCCACCTAAGGTACTTTGTGGCAGAATAATACATAACTGGAGAAGGGTTCTATTTTTGTTTGTTTGTATAAGGAAACTTAGTACAGAGGAAAGAAAGATTAGTGAGCAAGGTATAAAGTTGTATATAGGACTTTTTTTTTTTTTTTTGAGGGCTTTTTGCTATAGGATGTGTGCACTCACCAGGAAGACAGAGACAGAGAGACAGAAAGCAAGAAATCACCCCCCAAGGGGATGGCCATGCCGCAATCCCTTTTCCTCCATTCTCCTCTCGGGATCTTGGGGGTACACACACACACACATGCGTCCAGTGTGAGTTTAAGCCACTAGGTCCAGAACTTGAACCGCAGTCTACTACTGGGAGTCCAGCAACAGCCATTATGCCAACTGCTGGTCCCAGGAATTTTTTTTTGGAAATTAAGTCTATATAAGTATTTACAGAAAGATAGATACATAGATACTTTATAGTAAAAGAAGGTAGTAAAAAATTGTTCATATGACTATTTGTCCTGATGTTTGAACAGGATAGAAGTATACACTACCACCCTTTCATGTTGATGTGCCTAAATTGCAGGCTTTGGAAAGGTTGCTTTAAAATGGGCATTTGTAACATCAAAGAGACCAGGAGACAGAAAGTGTATATTAAAAAGTTTAAGAGCACTTTTATCATGCAACAATACACTGTGAAGTTTGGTACAGTGGGGGGAATTCATGGTATCCAGCTCTCAGAGGTACCCTTTGGTTTTGAGGGTGGGTATCTTTGATTTTTTATGGCCCTTTCCTATTCTCTCTTAACCTTTTTTTTCCAACTATAGAAAATTTGGATCCATTTCATTTCTGTGCTTATTCCAGGTTCTTTTTTTTTTTTTTTGGAGAGATTTTCACTATAGGGCGCGTGCGCTCGCCACACAGACAGAGAGAGACACAGAGACAGAAAGCGAGAAATCACTCCCCAGGGGGGATGGTCACGCCGCAATCCCTTCTCCATTCTCCTCTCGGGATCTTGGGCACGCACGCACACGCACCCGGCGTGAGTTCTAAGCCACCGGGTCCAGGACTTGAACCGCGGTCGACTACGTGAGAGTCCAGAGACATAGCCATTACGCTAACTGCTGGTTCCTCTTATTCCAGGTTCTTGATAAAGAAGTATCTGTCAGACTTCAAGATTTCAGAAAAGAGGTGAAAGAGTATATTACAACTTTGATTAAAGCCTGTAGGCAAGTTGATGACAGATTGATCAAACCATAGGTAAGGCTATATACTCAGTAAGTTCCATTAAAAAGAATATGCAGGGGTTGCCAACAGGTGGGGTGATGGTTGGGGCGCTGGACTCCCACATGACCAAAAGCAGTTCTAGTTCTGCACCTGGCAGCTTGCTTTCTCCTTCCCTCTCTGTCTCTCTCTCTTTCTGTCTTTCTCTGGTGAGCACATGTGCCCTTCAGCAAATTAAGGCAATAAGTATAGAAATAAATAAAGTTAAAATAAATAATTCTTAAAAACAAACAAACAAACAAACAGAGAACGTATTTGTCCTGGACTCCCACATGGCTGATGATGGTTCAAGACCTGGACCTGGCAACTTGAAATTCACACCAAGCATGTGTGGGCACTTGTTAAAAATCCTGAGGAGAATGGAGGAGAGGAGACTGTGGGATGACCATCGCCCTGGAGAAGATTTCTCACTTTCCCTCTCTTTGTCTCTCTCTGGTGAGTGTATGCATCCTATGGCAAAAACCTTAAAAAAAAAAAAAAAAGAAAAAGAAGGGGGGCCAGCTAGTAGCATGATAGTTAAGGCAGCTGTATCCCGCATGGCCAACTGTGTAGTTTGTGTCTGAGATCTGATGACTCGAATATCATGTTAGGTGCACGTGCCTGCATGCCCAGAATCCCAGGAGGAGAATGGAGCAGAAGGGATTGCGGTATGGAACTTTCTTGCTTTCTTTCTCTCTCCAACAAGCACATGAACTCTATGGCCAAAAAAAAAAAAAAGAATAAAAGAATAAGGGGAATATTAATATGTCGGCTTCACAAGTGTTTAAATGGTTGTAATGTATCTTTATGAAGTAACATATTTTGGAAGGAAATTTATTCAATATGAAAAAAACAAAAATCGTCTGCTCTCCAACCTTTCAAGTAACTATGGCTACTATTTTGGTAGATTTCTTTATAATTGCTTCCTGTGCTTTTATTTAATTAATTTATTTCTTTAACTTTATTATTATTATTATTTAAAAAATTCGAACAGAGAGAGAGAAAGTGAAAAAGCAAGCCACTAGGTCTGGGACTCAAACCGTGGTTGGCCACTTCAGAATCTAGTACCCAGTCACCATGCCATCTGCTGGCCCCAAATAACATATTTTTAAAATAGGTAATACATTCACATGGTACAAAAATAAAAGTAATGTAAAAAGTTTATAGTTAAAAATCTCCCTCTGACCCTGTCACTCTCCAGCACTTCACATGTAAACACTTATCAAGTTTTTGGATGTGTGTTTGTGTGTGTGTATTTCCCAAACTGGATATCTTTTGCAGAATATAAATCTCTGTAAGATTTAAGTGATTATCATTTGACTAGGATCTTAACCTTATTTTTTAATTTATTTTTTGAGGTTTTGGTATAGGATGTGTGCGCTTGCTGGAGAGACAGAAAGTGAGAAATCACTCCCACAAGGTATGACCATGCCACAATCCTTTCTCCTCCATTCTCTTGGGATTTTGGGCATACGTGCACACGTACCCAGTGTGAGTTTTACACCACTGTGTCTGGGACTTGAAATGTGGTCGACTACATCGAAGTCCATTGACATAACCATTACACCATCTGCTGTTCCCAAGGATCTTAATCTTTTGCAGCTCCATTGTCATCCTTTAAAAACTCTTTCAGCCTCGGGACCAGCAGTTAGCATAATGGCTATGTTGCTGGATTCCCACGTAGTCGACCGCGGTGCGAGTCCCGGACCTGGTGACTTAAACTCACGCCAGGCGCGTGTACGTGGGTGCCCAAGATCCCAAGAGGAGAATGGAGGAGAGGGGATTGTGGCGTGGCCATCCCCCCAGGGGGTGATTTCTCGCTTTCTGTCTCTCTGTCTCTCTCTGTCTGGCGAGCGCATGCGCCCTATAGCAAAAACCTCTCAAAACAAAAACAAAAACAAAAACAAAACAAAACAAAACAAAACCTCTTTCCGCTTCTATTGAAATGTTAGAATGCTTTGGGATTCTACAGGGATTTTCTTTAGTGTTCTACAAAGATTTGTAGCACTATTTGGTCTAAAGGTAAACAGGATAACTGATTTCTGGTCAAGTCCTGCTAGTCCTTTCAGAGTAGATTAGTTTGTATAGATTAGCTTTAATATATAGCAGAACTAAGTTTGTAATCCTTGCAAAGTCTGATATGAAACTAACAAGTTTGGGAGAAAAATGATAGAAAAATGTATTCTTGGGGCATCAGGTGGCATGGTGTTTAAGGTACTGACTCCCTCATGGCCAGTCATAGTTTGAGTCCTGGACCTGGTGACTTGCTTTCTCGTTCTCTCTGTTGCTCTCCCGTGCTCTCTCTCTCTCTGATGAGTACATGTGCCCTGTAGCAAATTAGAAGATAATAATAATGTTAAGTAAAATGAAATAATTCTTAGAAATATATATGTATATATATTCTTGAGGTTTTGAGACAGTGATAAATTAGGGCGAATGTCTATGTGTCCTGTGCTGACTTCTGATCAGTAAGGGACTGTCATTGGATTTTAAATTGACCCAATTTTGGAAGCTTCATAGATCTGTTTCTGTAAACAGATCCGATTTCAAAATAGAAACGAACAGACATAACCATGGAAACACAAAGTCCATTAAACTTCCTTCAGACTTAGTTTGAGATTGAGATTAATAGTTAAAATTGCATGCTGGATTATGTTGCCATTTACTGAGACTCCTGCTAATCCCTATGTACAAGAAAAAAAAAAAGTAGGTGTTTTGTCTCTTGGTAAGATGAAAATAACTCACTCAGTTTTACTTTGGTAATGTAACAGGATCTCATATGCTTGTGAAAGTTGGAGAGGGTGTCCCTGGGGAAATGGTACAGCCGAGGAAGGGACTATTTTACCTAGCCATATGTAATTCTGATGAAGTCTTGACTTACTCTGTTTATTCTGTTTACATTACCATTGTTTAACTCATAATTTGCCCTTTAAGAGAAATGCGCCACATCTCGCAAGCTGGTTGGGAGGGGCGGTGTTTGAGAGCATCTATCATACCAGTCTTTGTTTTGCTTAGGAGCTGTTAGTTCACTATTTCAGCCCTGCTTAGAATGCACCCTCTTGCAATTTTCCCCTACCCCCCTGAACCTGCACCTTTTGATTTATAGAGCTTGTCAAGGCTAGTTATTTTTGGTTGGAGAGTGAAGAGAGACAGGAGGCAATGGGAGGCTAGTTTCAGATGAATGTGAAAGCAGCTTCCATTGCTGCTTCTACAAACTTCCTCACGTGTATTTGTTCCCATTCGCTTCCCCTTTCTATCTCCTCTTTCCCCTAGAAGTCATTTGTTCCTAGCCCATGGAACTCTGCAGGTCTGTCTGCATCTTTTAGGTGTCACTTCTGCAAGTAGCCTTCTCTGACCCTCCTCCACCTTGTTCTCCTCTGCACTGCCTCTGTTTATGCCCCGTTGCAGCAAGGGCACCCAGTGTCATAACTGTTCGCAGATCAACTGTGAGCTCCTTAAGGGAAGGGATTATAAGCATCCTTTCAGTCTTTGTGTTTTGGAAACAGCATGGTCTGTATGACATGCAGATGGCATTTCACAGGCAGCTTTGAAAGGACCTAACTAGTTTATAGCACATGGGATAGGCTTTTCCTCTCAGGTCTGTTGTAGAAGTACTGGTCATAATGGCTATTTCTCCACACAGACTCTTCTGTAGTTTTGCAGGAGTCTAAAGTGGAGTCAGTTAATTTTGAAATGTGAATCTGATAAGCTGATTCTCTTGCTTGGCAGTTTGGTTTGTTGGGGGAATGTGGTTGACGCATGTGCCTTTTTTTTTTTTTTTCAGTGAGACCTGTTGACAGAAATTCAATCTTGATTAAGGGGTGCAGGAAGGCATCCAGTTTCTACCAAGCCTGGTGCTCTCTTATTTAAATAGTCGCCTTTGGCTCTGACTTGTTCAATTTTCCACCAGGCCCTGAACACTTTAATTTTTGAAGGGTTCACATCCTAATATTTATTATTTATATTCGGAGGCAGTGTGGCGAAACTGGCAGACTTAGTAGTTGTGTTTGGTTTTCTTTTACACTCTGCTACCAGCCTTCATTGAAGAGAGTCAGGTTTCTCAGTATACACACATTTATATATTTTTGCTCCCCCGCCTTTTTTTTTTAAAGAGAAATTTTTGCTAAAGGGCATGTGTGCTCACCAGAGAGAGAGGGAGACAGAGAGAGAGACAGAGACAGAAAGCAAGAAATCACCCATCACGGGGATGGCCACGCTGTAATCCCTTCTTCTCTCAGGATTTTGGGCTGCACACACATGCACCTGGCGTGAGTTTTAAGTCTCTGGGTCTGGGACTCAAACTGCAGTCTACTACATGGGAATCCAGCGATGTAACCATTACATCATCTGCTGGTCCCAATATTTATTCTCTTTCTTTCAGGAAGGGGAGATGATGTCCTGAGTTTGCCATACTAAATAAAGAGATTTAAAAAAGTTTTTTAAAAACGATTTCATGTTGGGAGCTGACTGGTGGTGTGGTAGTTAAGGCGCTGGACTCCCACGTGACTGATCGTGTTTCAAGTTCTGGACCTGGCGGCTTGCTTTCTCACTTTCTCCTCTCTTTTTCTCTCTTATCTTTCTCTGGTCAAATTAAAATAATAATTAGAAGGAAATAGTTAAATAATTATTTTTTTGAGAGGTTTTTGCTATAGGGCACGTGCGCTTGCCAGACAGACAGAGAGAGACAGAGAGATAGAAAGCGAGAAATCACCCCCCAGGGGGGACGGTCACGCCGTAATCCCTCCTCCTCCATTCTCCTCTTGGGATCTTGGGCACGCACGCACCTGCGTCCGGTGTGAGTTTAAGCCACCAGGTCCGGGCCACAAACTGCGGTCGGTTACGTGGGAGTCCAGCGACATAGCCATTACACTAACTACTGGTCCCAAAATAATTATTTTTAATAAAAAAGAAAAAAGATTCATGTTAGAGAAATCATATCTTGGTTTTAAACTTTCGCCTAAATAAAGAGGAGATGTACTTAGGTTTGTGTCCCTTGA